CCTTTGCAGGTAAAATTCACACAAGAGTAAAAGCTTATGGTATTCTTATATCGCTTGTTTTCCCCGGACAGCGGTCAGCAACAAAAATAAGAAGGGCCATTAAAAAAAAAAAACACTCAATATTTCAAGACCCGGCGGTTGCATGTGAATACGAGACCGTGATCCTTAATAAAACACATTCCTGCGGAGGGAGCTGGTAGGAACGTTGGGTTGCTCGGTCAATGGCCAAGGTCAACGGCGGTGTGGTGTATTCCGCAAATATAGCCGACTGTGAGGGCGGGCACAAGCCGGCGTGAGTAGGTTAAACGTTGAGTTTTACAAGGGCACCACGGGGTGACCAGCCCCTCCCCTCCCAGCCCCACCCCTCCCACCCCCCACCCAGCCCCACCCTCCCCACCCAGCACCTCCCCACCCAGCCCCTCCCCACCCTCCCCTCTCCATCCAGCCCCACCCCTCCCATTTTTGGATGCATGGACGGACACAGTAATCCCCTGTGGGCTGGTGTAACCAGGAGGTTCCTACCAGTATAACGCTACGAAGCAGTCCTTAAAAAGCCGCATATAGCTCCGGAGCCACAGGTTGCCGACCCCTGCCCATGGTAAACTGGACTCCCATGATCAGGGGTCGGCAACCAATATATAAAGAAGAGCCATTTTTTTCCGAATTCCTTTAAAAATATATATATATATATTTCAACACCCGCAGGTTGTATGTGTTTCCCAATAAAGTAATATCCAACTTTGGATGATATTGGACAATTACACCAGCACACAATGGCCTACTTTTATTCAATTCATGTCACGCGATCTATACCACCCACTGCTGCAATATTAACCAGGGCAGCCTGCAGGAATCGAAACCGCAAACCTCTGCAACAAATGCCGAACGCACCGCTGGACCAAGTCACCGGTATAACTCTTCTGTTGCTCTTCATTCAATACATTGTGCTGTGGGTTTTCAGGATAAAACAAAACCAAGCATGTATTTCAACAACTTAGTGAGGTTTTTTCCCCCCGTGTAACTTAACCAATTATTTGCAGCAAGGTGTCTCATAAATCAATTTCGTTGGTTGGAAGCCCTGGCGTTATGGGCAGGAGCCTTGGACTGAGTCTGATTTTATCCCGTCTCGTCAGCAACGTGCGTTCTCATTAAATCAATAGGCAATGCCCTCCCATGATCTGATGGGTGCGGAGCAACCACTGTGGGTGTGAAAGTCAATGCTCTGGGAGCAGCGTACGTTTGTCTTGTTTATTGAACAAATGCTATTGGGGAAAATGTGGAAGAAGGTTCAAAGATCAATGGAATGAACTTACTTTTCTCTCATACTTTAATTGTTACTACTTGTTATATGCTTCTGACCGTTTTCTTTAAATACATTGCTGAATCGGCAAAAAATACTCACTTGTACAATTGATGTAGCAAGCAGTCCGAGTATCCTTGTGAGCAGCATTCAGCATGACCACGAGCGAACAGCTGTTACTTCACAGGGAAAAAATGCTGGGTCATTTCACTGCTCAGGGTGATTTTGAAGCTGCAAAACGGCAACTGTGAGCAGTCGTTTGGATTACAAACCCTCCAAAGAGGCTTTTATTCCATACTTTGTTGGAAACCACATGTAATATTTAGGTCAGGGTCAATATTGTCTCATTTAAGTTCTAATATATATTTCAAATGTTAGTGTCCTATTATTTAATTCGAATTGTGCTTTTGAAGATTATATTCAGGAAAATATGGCTACATATGAAATATGACGATAAGAGATATTAAAGGTTCTTCAGAACTGGTGCTTTTTATGTGTTAAACTGTACACCACATTCTCTGTTGTGAGGTTGTTTCTTGCATTGCAAACATTTTTTATTCTCAAATTAAGTGTAGAGGCAATGTTAATATGATGTTCTTTTGTATTCACGCGAATCTGAAACCCAGATTTTAAATCAGGATGTCAGTCGTGTTGGCTCAGTACCCTGACTTCTGAGCCACCCGACTGTTGCAACTAAGATGTTACAAAAATGATGAATGTGGAAGAAAATCGTATGACCTGGCGAAAACCCCACCATGCTTACAAGGCCATAACAACTCAAAGCTCTGCACATATTCAATGATGTGAATAGATCAAATCCATATTTGGACTGAATCCATTATGCAGATTGATCTGACCCAAAATCAATCATGAATCAACATTTGGTCACGATAGCCTACGGATAACAACAAGCAGGAAGGCTGCAGCCATTCGGTCTTCTTTTGTATGCCTGATGAAGATGCAGAGCAACAACTACTATATCGCATTCAGGTGATCAAGCCAGATAACCGCGTCAGTAGTAGCAGACTATCGCTGTGTCGTCTCCATCATATTTGTGGATCGGGCATTGCATCGTCATGTGGTGAGCACCAACAATTGTCAGAGCTCTACGGCCCCCGATATATTAAGATGTTTGCAGCCATGTCACGAGTGTTTACATTTGGGAGGAAACTGGAACACGTGGAGAAAAGCCACGCGCGCGTGCGTGCAAGCAAGGGGGCAACGCTCTATCCCAGAGGTCCCAACCCCGCACAGCAGCAGGAGGTGAGTGGTGAGTCCGCGCGTGGCCCGCCAATTATTTTATCTTCCGTCCGCGCCTCTTTCCCGCACTGCGCACTCGTCTCAGTCACAGTTTTGGTAAGCCCACAAGCTGCTGATCCCGAGCCAAAATGAGTAAAAAACAAACGTCGCTGGAAAGCTTCCCATCTCCGTCCGTGAAAAAAATTGTCTTCCACGAAACTGGTGCCAACATGGTTGGGGACCGCTGCTCGTCTATTCCATACAGATGGAAGAGATGGGCGTCTGCAATGTGCTGTACCACCTCCTGGCGAGCCAGGGTTATGACATCTCGACGCACAGACAGCGGGTCTCGCCGCTCGTGCTGCATTACAATGCCACGTGCATAGCAGCCACCGCACCTGGCCCACCGTTGCTTGGCCCTTGTGCCTGTGACGCTGAGCGCGTCTGGGAGAAGCTTTCCGGTGAGGATTGAGGAGGAGGACTTGGCGCACGCCTCACTGCTGCGCGGCCACACACACGCCCTGCGGATGTCGCTGATCCGCTCCCCGTGTTGTTTGTATCTCGGATCCGGCCTCTACTGGGGGTTGGTGAATCACGCGGAGATTCGAGGAAGCTCCGTCACTTGCCGAGGTCGCCATATACCCCCCCAGCTTACCGCAGGGTATGGCGGCAGTACGTAAAGCCTGGTCCAGATGTCTTGTGACCTCCCCCCCCCCCCCCCCCATTTAATTATCTAAGACATAATTTTTTTTTAACGTAAGGTTTATTTACAACAGACATGCATATCCAAAGGAGGGTGGGAGGGGGGCATGTTAGGGATCAATTAATCGGGGGGTCACAAGACATCTGGGCCAGATGTCTCAAGACATCTGTAATCGCAATCAGTCTTCGTTCTGTGACCGCGTTGGGGCCAACTTGACTCCCACCGCACTCCGTGAGTGACCTCGGGTCATCAACGGAGTTGGACAAACACCTTCAAACGATACCGTACATTAAGGACCACAGAACTTGGGCAAATCGTTGGCGGCCCTTTAGGGACCGTCCATAAATGACGTCACGCACCTAGGGGGGGGGGGGTCAGACATTTGTGACGATGCGTGACGAGGGGGGGGGGGGTGAGAAATGTGACGTCACATCAAAATGCGCAACTTTAAATAAATATAGACAACACGTTCTACTTAATTAAATAGGCTTTTTAATAAATGTTTTCTCCTACAACATCAGTGCTGCGCCACATTAAATACGCACTAAAATGACAATAGTTTAAATCGATTTGAAGCATGTTTAATATATATTTGTGGGGGGGGGGCAGAGCTTTGTGACGTCATATTTGAGGGGGGGGGGGTCTGACTTTTTGTGACGCCGTGTGACGAGGGGGGGGGGGGGTCAAAAATCGTCCAAAATCGCGTGACGTCATTTATGGACGGCCCCTTACAAACTCGCCCGAGCGTTTCCGAGAAGCAATGCGCACTGGGGTCGTGTTTGTAAATGAAACGCGTTGACGTCGTGCGGTTTACTGCCCAACACAACCCTGTGTTTGCTGAAGTAGTCGTTGACTCATTTGTTCAGGGTGATAAACCGAGGTTCGTTGGTTGTAGGTAAACAACACATTTATATTTACGCGATGTAACCCAAAAACCTTTATTAGCAATGATTCCAGGTTATAATTATAAAAATAAATAATTATATTGTTGATTGTATATGTTGAATTATGATATAATTAATTTAGTATAATTGATTTATAATATATGCATACAATTCAATATGTAATTAGTATTTAATTGCATATAATATTTTGTAATAATATCAGTATTATATTTGAATAATTAAATATACTTTAGATTGTATTATTTACCAATAATATAGAATACACAAATATTTAATAATATATACAAACATATAATTGTTACGTTATCATATACTACTTATAAAATCATATAATGCAACTTCAAATTATTATTTAGTTACATACTATAATAAAAGCATTATATAAATATAATTCTATAAATGTAAATTTCGATTTAAAGCTTTCGTGACTGCAGGAATTCATATTCTTGGTTCTTTCGGTAAAGTCACGTAGGAGGGAAATAGTAAAATAATAAAAAAATAAAACATAATAATTAAGACAGCGTCTTAATGTCTTTTCGACAGCTCTGTTTCTTCACCTGAGGACGGCTGCTTGCGTTGTGGCCGAAACATCGTGAGAATTTTATTATATAATTTTTAAATATTTTATTATTTTATTATTTCCCTTCTATAAATATACTTCATAATAATTATTAATACATCCGGTTCCGCGTGTTGTTGTTGTTGTTGTTGCTTCTCGGCTGGACCCGGTTCCGCGTGTTGTTGTTGTTGTTGCTTCTCGGCTGGACCCGGTTCCGCGTGTTGTTGTTGTTGTTGCCTCTCGGCTGGACCCGGTTCCGCGTGTTGTTGTTGTTGTTGCTTCTCGGCTGGACCCGGTTCCGCCCGCTCAGTGTCGCCCGCGCTCCGCCATGGAGTGACGCCTCCTGCTGCTGCTCCCTCCACCACCTCGCTCCGTCTCCTCCTCGCTCGTGAACCTCCCTCCTACCTCCTCCTCCTCAAGTCCTCTCAGCTCCGTCGGGAAGCCTTAATGGATGGGAAACTGCCTGAAATCCAGCTCGCTCGACGATGTCTCGCTGCTGCACGACTCGGACGCCGCTAGCACGGGCGGCGTGGAGGACCGGGAGCCGCTCCGCGACTACGCGGGGCCCCCGCCGCCTTACCGGGTAGGGGCGACCATCCGAGCAGCGGTGATTTTTGCGGCCTAGCCCGCGCTCCATGGGAAACGCGCGCGTGTGTGTGTGTGTGTGTCTACACGGTGATGAATTAGGGCGAGCAGGCACTTGGAACTCTTTAGTTAAATCCAGCGTGTGTTCAAAGGCGGATCACAACACTCATCCACTCACCCACTACGATCACAACACCGTCAACTTGCTGGTCACAACAACAACAGGCAACACCCGCCCGCTTTACAACCTCCTGAACAGCTGTCTGTGTGTGTGTGTGAGGTTGTACGCACGGTACATTGTGTCTTTGTTTTGCTGCGCCTTATCGACAAAACATTTATTTTGGATGAGGCTTCTGACCCGTATAGGAACTTTGTTTAAAAATAGTAAGCACATGTTTGCAGTGAGTGGGTTGATGTTGGTTTATGTGACTTAGACTTCACGTATGTCTGCTATACGTGTGTTTGTGCGGTGCACTGTACAGCGAGTGAGATCACAGTATTTAGCAAGTTAATGAGTACTGTACGTTTAAGTGTGTGTAATATGTTGTGTGTTGATGTCAAGATTGATGTGTGTCAAGATTGAGATAACTAAGTGATACTTTCACAATATACGGATTAGTACGTATAGTATTCTATTTAATAATTTAAGAAGCATTATTACTTGTTATAATATTATTGGTATTACACGTTTAGCCGTTTTGTGCCCGGTTTATAAAAGATTATAATAAAAATGGTATTACAAAAAGGTATTGCAAGCTATTGGGTACGTAATATTTACATTATTTCTATTACCTTGGGAAGCCAAGCAGATTCTAAAGGCCTTTTTGAGGAGGATTCTGTTACATTGGGAAATTTAGCCAATTCCATCAATGTCTATTATGCTCCGTGCAATAGAAAACCTTTGTACCTGGAGAAATCTCCACCACGCACAAGAGGCCACAAAAACTCAAGGCTCCGTACAGATAGATTCAATCAACAGATTCAATCCAGTGAGTGGACCAAATCTGACTGTGCACCGAACCCATTGGACCACTGCCATCTCATCTCATAAGGGTGCCATGGTGGTGAGATGTTAACTACCTCGCCTGGTATACGGGAGGTCGTGAGCTCGATCCCAACCCTGACTCCGTTTTTTCCCTCCACGTTTAGGAACGCGTTTAGAGTATGTGGCTGCTTTCCATTTCCACACGATAAGCCACTTAATTGGGCTATCATTTGTGGCCAGGTCGCTTTTGAATAAAAGCTATATAGCTCAGTGGGCTTTGCCTGGTAAAATAAAAAAAATTGTTGATGGTTTAGTTTTGTGTCTGTGTGTACATAATGAGAAGTCCATTAAACAATAAGAGCTGTTGTGTTTCTTGTTTTCTCTTTGAACACGAGAGGTGATTTTTGTTTTATAGTATGTGTATATATTATTGTGCAGGAGTAAACGTGTAACCGAGTGCATCTTGTGGACAAACTGTAGTCGGTTTAACTGTAGTCGTATGTAGCTTCCGTGTACCTCGACACTGGAATTTACTATGCGAGGTCAAATCTCGAATGTGGAACTTGTTCTGCCACATTCATGTTGACGCAGATATTTTTTCTATCAACTACCTGGTTCTCCAAGCGCCACTGCCTGCGTTTTTGTTCCGGCTGACATCAGTGGCGAATTGCGTTTAAACTGATTCGGTATCTGCATTGGTCAGCATGGTGAAGTATGGTCAAACAACCCCTATGGCTGATATGATGTTGGAGGCCTTCATCCAGCAGCGGATTGAGAAACAGATATAACTTGACGTGTTTAATTATACATGCTTTGTGGCACGAGTCAATTTATCTGCTGGCACGTACTGTATTCTGCCTGTCAGTACTGTAGTTCAGTTACTGCATATAAGTAGATACTTATCTAGAAGTACTGTATACTTGTCTGTTGAAAATGTCACAATCTTATCCGATTTAAATATTTACATAACATAACAATTGCCTCTCAGAATGACGTTGATTGCATCTGCTTGAACGGCTTATGAAAACACTGGTTGGCAGTTATAACTCTAAAACTGATATGCGTTTCTGGATTTAGCCTTGCCCAAGCGCACCAATAAAACTTTACAATGTATACGTTTTCAGAAGAGTTTAGCAGTGGTGTTTGTGTGATAATGACACTAGCAATCAAAACGTAGTCCTTGTCAATGTTCTCCATTGCACAAAACGGTCGTTCATTGCTTCAACCAATGCCATTTTCTTCGGATAAGTCACTCAGTTTGTACAATGGACTTAAGACAACTTGAAGGCATTTTTGTTGTTGCGCTTGTGACTGAGGAGTTGCGTTAGGATGGCTGGTTAGTGGGCGGGTGGTTCATGTTGACGATAGAACACGAGATTCGAATTCTCAGAACGTTGCCTGTTAAAGACCCCTCTTGTCAAGCCATCGTTTGAATGAGCGATTGTCGATGAAGGGCATGAATCTGCAGTGTTGACTCATGTCATCAGAATTCTGATTGTCCATTTCTAGCGCGAAGACCAATTGCTGCTTGGGGCTCTGTTACTGGGCAAGAACACCGAGTGACTCACGCAGTCTCTGCGCTTTGTTTTTTCGTACATATTAACTTATTCATTCCTTCGTTGGTCACTTACATTGCTTTGTCAGAGCTGATGGCTCCAGGAATCATTCCCAGTTCAGTGCAGGCATTTCATCAGCCTGGCAAGCATGCAAGCAAAGCATCTGCACTCTATCGCTATACGAACTCTTACCATAATTTGATAATTGCGAGTCATTTTCAAAATTGGGTTAATACGCCGACGCACAATTGCCTACTCTGGCGAGAGACGTAACGACGTGTTTGAGGGCCACTTTTCGACGCACTGACAATAAACGCCTCGTGGTGTTTATCCGACAGAGGGTGGGAACTGTGAACCTTCACAGTGCTTTACATTCATTCTCCTACGTCGGTACCGAGGGCTCCAGATCCCACATGGTTTCGCTGGTCTGCTTGGCTGTTTGTTGTATTAGCCAAGAGGCATTTTATCATCATGTGCCTTTGTCTGCTGCCGTTGCTGATGTTAACAGAAGGTGAGCATTAGCCATGAGGTTATCCAGCCAAAGGACTGGATTTTGCTAAAGCAGAGAGAGTCCTCTGATGAATAAACAAAATGTCATCCAGATTAAACCCTTGAGCCAGGAGCAGCAGCAGTGGTGAGGGCAGCTGCCGGTTCATTCCATTAAGTGGTTTGATGCAAATTGCTCGTCAATTTCGGCAATGGTCATGTAATTTTATGCGGTTGTCAGGGGGGCTGTTTTTGGATGCCTTTGAATTATTAATTCTAAAGCAGACTTGATTCTGCTTTGAAATGACCTGGAGAATGTGATTAATAGCTTTATCCCCTACATCTTTTTTTTGATTTCTCAGTTTTTATTTTATCCCACTTGTACCATCAAAGTAAATGGAATGAAATAGACTAAACATACTTCAGTTTTAAACGTCAGAAGGTCGTCAGTGTCAGAGTGGCCCAGGAAGATGATCCCACAGAACTACTTCCTGGGTCATTTAAAAAGCCCTCTCTTAACCAAGAATAGATGCCATTGTTTCATGTTCTCTGAAAAGTTGTTAACTGCACGTTATCATCATCATCAGCCAGCTGGTATACTGTATATACTAATCTTTAGCTTCCAGAGCAAGAGTAGGTCAAATTAAGTTAAGTTTATTCATTGCTTTTTTTTTCTTGTGTATGTTTATCCGTCACCAGTTGCAGACCGTCGACCCCATTACATGTGAGAGCCTTGTTTCTTGTATTGCAGTTATTTACTTGAATATATTTGTGAAACTAAGACACGTTAGCAGGTGGTCAAGACTTATGACAGAGTGGCAGCTAAAAGAGGAAAACACGACTGAGACGATATTCATTGCAGAGATGGAGTGGTGATATCAGCTCGTGTGTAGATGCTAGATGGATTGTTGCATCGCAAGACCATGAGAGATGGTTTGCGGAGACTTTCCTCCAGCAGTCGATTGATCATGGCTCCGGATGAGGAATTATTTATTTCGTAAAATATGTTCTTATAGTCATTACATGTGTAGTGAGTCACTTCTGAGACACTATTTTAGGAGGCAACAATGTTTATTCTACAATATCTATCTTACACACTGTTCACACACGGGATAACTAATTACGGGTCAGAGCAGCCAACATTCTGTCTGACCCATGACGCCGGAGTTGGAAGACATAGCACCTCTGGTTCCATTCAACCTGTAGACAGCCCTGATTCAGCCTCGGGGCTTCCCTTTTATGCCCCTCAGCGTGAACTGGCTCCACCCTCGGCCACACCCCCTTCTAGAACCTTCCAGGAGGTCCTGGGCTGACCTCCACGTGACACCTGCCTGGCTCCGCCCTTAACCACACCCCCTCCTGGAACCCTCCAGAAGGTCCTGGGCCATGCTTCCCGCATCCTTCACCCCGGCCCATCACGTGCTTTGCCAGCCGGCCGGGGTGACGTGTCCCCACATGCCCCTTTCCACTATCAGCCAGTACCACGCCCCCTAGTGTGGCAGCGGTGGAAACATTTTTTCAGATCCGAATTTGAGGTTTAAGGTTCAAACCTTGATAAACCCTAATAAACCTAATAAATCTTGATTTGAAGCTAATAAACCTCATGGTTTTATTCGCAATACTCCCAGATCAGTACTATTCCTCCTCTGACGAGTCCATGTCATCGCCATCGGACATATAACTGCATTCGGCGAACGCCGCATAGTTGCTCTTGAGGTAGACTAACTTCTCCACCGAACTGGGCGCCAAGTTGTTCCTGAGCTCGCTGTGTATGAAGCCCATAGTTGAGAAGTGGCGCTCCGAGGCTGCAGAGGATGTCGCCATCATGAACAGCTTCACGCCGATCTTCTGAAGATCAGGCCACGCCGTCAGACTGCCAATTCTGCAAAGGTGTCTTACGTCCCTTGAGCAGCATAATTAATCCAAACCCGCCGGCATCCTTCTCTTGCTGCGCCGAAATTATGTACTCAG